AAAAAAAAAAAAAAAAAAAAAACCCACAAAAGAACTTGAACATTATTCATCTGAAAATAAACAAGGACTTACAAAATTTAAAAATACTTTCCTACCATGCAGGGACTCCAACTATATTTTACGAATTAAGTTAGACCAGATGTGAAATAACAGAGCTTCGTGGTACTTTGAAACAAACAGGGGCTCTGGGAACCCCTTGGGAGATTAAGGAGCCCGTTAGATTTAAAACGCAGTTGTTTATTATTTCTTTGTTTTTTCTTTTAAGACCCAAACAGAAGGTTACGGATTCAGAACTAGCTTGTGAGCAGGCTCATCAGTATCTTGTCACTAAAGCAAAAAACAGATGGGCCGACTTGTCAAAGGTAAGAAAGACGCTTATTTCCTTAAAAGAAAAGAACATCTATCTCAGTGTTTCCAGAGCCCTGCGATGATCAAACTGTTTAGACCCAGCCGCTGAGATGGAAAAACAATTCGGCCTACCCAGTGTGGTGACACCTTTCATTCTGCAAATACTTTTTCAAACTAAATTCTCACATTCAAGGTCAATGGATGTTTTGAAAGAGAATTGTAGGAGTTCCATGGATGAAAATACTTGGCATTATTTCACGTTGGGTTGGAATTAAAATCTTAAATGAAAAATATACGACACTTTTGGTGGCACAGTGGTTAAGAGCTCGGCTGCTAACCAGAAGATTTGCAGTTCAGATCCACCAGCTGCTCCTTGGAAACCCTATGGGGCAGTTCTACTTTGTCCTATAGAGTTGCTATGAGTTGGAATCGACTCGACGGATACGGTCGTACTTGGTTTTACACAATTAGAATCATGCATTTTTAAAGAGCTGTTTCCTTCTGTCTTGCCCAAGTTATCGAAAGCAAATTTGCCAAAATTATGCAAGGCCAGTACCCTCCACCTGCAGCCTGATAAATTGTGATTGTGGCTTCAGGATGAGGCTTCCTAATCCGACAATGAGGCTATGCTCACGGGACCGTGGAGGCAAGCGCGTGGAACTCAGTGCGCCCTGGAATCTAGACCGTGGGGTCTGCGTTCCATAGTGCAAAGAGGACACAATAACCTCATGTTTAAAAGTACCTTGAAAACTGCCTCATGGAAGTATTTTCGCAGTATTTTGAAGACCGTCTCCACCGTGTTCCACCCGGTCAGTTTCCATCTATGTTCACACTATCCTGACCCGATTTGAAGTTCTGGCTGTTTAGTGCCGTCAGCTGCCGGGGCTGCTCCTCCCCAGCCCCGTCCACTCCGCTGCATGGCAGAGGACTGGCTGCAGAGGGGAGGAGAGGGGCTGTGAAGGGAGCCCGATCTGGGAGGAGCCAGGGTCAGAGGTGTGGGACGGATTCGCTGTCCTGTAGAACTGGGACCGGCACTGGGGCATCCTGGCCTAGACCGGCCCCTGGCACAGCCTGAAGCTTTGCAGGGCAGATTGAGGCCAGGTTGGTCCTCGGGCAGCCCTCTGGGGCCAGGGGAGCAGGGCAGGTCCGGGCTTCTTTGCAGCTGGCCCGGCACCTCCCTCCTTTCCTTCTGCACCCTGGCCTCTTCCCTTCTCCCCACAGCCTCCCCTCCCCCTTCTAACGTACCCTGACGCCCCAGGCCATCCAGGGCCAATTCCAGGCCCCTTGCCAGCTCCCAGCTCCCAGCTCCACCCTGATCTGTCGAACACTTAGCACCGTGCACAGGCTTTGCAGCCAGGATTCAGTGGTCAACAGTCAGCCGGGTCCCTGCCTCACAGAGCCCAAGGCACCATTCATGTGGCTGTCAGCGCAGTGGGGGGAGCAGGGTGACAAGAGCGGTGAGTGGACAGGGGTCTTTGTTGCTGAGACGCCCAAGTCTGTCTTCTGAAGATGCTAGCTTTCCCTGGACTCTGCTCTGTGGGCCTCCTCCCCTCCCTGCCTCCGCCCACCCTCCCAGGCTGTGTTTTCTCTCCCCGGCTGACTGCCTCTCGCTCCCCCGAGAGCCTTGCACACCTGCCTCTCCAGCCTTGGTGCCCCCACCAGCTCAGCCATCATGTACTTGATGCTCTGCAGAACCCCAGCTCACCCCCACAGTGCTCAGAGCGGGCTAGAGGCTGGAGCACCCCGCTGCCAAGTCAGCAGCCTGGGGTCTCATGTGCACCCTGTTCTCTTCCTGGGCTGCACAGGTACAGGTGTGGGAAGGGAGGAGAAGCGAGATTCACCTTGAATAGAGGGACCAGAGAGGGCCCGAGGGGGGTGTGGAGGGAGCGCACCGCCCCGCTTGGTCCTGAACTGAGCGTTAAGCACCCCGCCCGCACAAGACTGAGTAACCGTGCGCGGCTTGTTATCGCTGAGGGGCAGCCCTGTCGCTTGGCTCGTTCTATCTTAAATCAAGCACTTTGGGAACTGGTTTTGATTCTAACCCTGCAGGAGGTGTTAGGACACGTAGGTCATGAGATAGACGCTCCGGCACTGTCTCCCTTTTGCTGCGTTTTACGCTTCTCAGACTTGTGTTGGGCATTCACCACACAGAATCTGTTTATAGCCAAAAGGATGTGTTCTGTAATGAGGCTGCATTTGGAACTTGGACAAGAGCCGGGTATTTAGTCGTTTTCAAATAGAGTCACCTGGCTGGCCACACAACCACGCTAAGTGGGGGGACAAACCCCAGCTGAAATCTCAGGAGCTCGGAGGAGTCGCCCCACTGGAGTTGGCTTCCTCTTCTCATTTTGGAAGATAAGTCCGTGTTTCTTCTGCAAACGTTCATCGTGAACCAGTTATGTGTGAGGCACAATGACAGAAAAGACACAGTCCCTGCTGCCAGGAGAGCTGTGACCCAGGGAGGACTAGAGACTTACGGTCTGCGTACCAGTAATGGCTAAGAAGTTCAGATGTTACAGCAGACACCTGGCTTGGGTGCTGTGGGGACCCAAAAGAAGAGGTCACTTCTGCCCTTGAAGAAGTCAGGAAGGGAGGCGCGAGTTAGCCTCAAAAGATGAGCAGGCATTTGACAATGGATGATGGGGATGAGGAGGCTGTTGGTGGGGGCGAGCCAACCCATGGAAGTGGGAGACTGACTGATGTGGTGGGAGCAGCGAGGAGTCCAGTGTGGATGTGTCCAAGGGACTGGGCGGGGGTGGGGGGGTGTCCAGTGCGAGGCAGGACTGAGGTAGACGGGCCAGCTCACAGCAGGCCTTACCTGCTCTAAGCGTGTAAAGGGACTTCTTTGGAATCCTTTAGACTAAGTACAGTGAAGTGTGTAAAATGTATGTGTATAGTTTAAAAAATATTAAATTATTCACCCATGTAACTACTGTTCAGATTAAGAGAACTGTTCAATATTAAGAGAATATTGTCAACCCCTTAGACTAAGGGTTGGCACAGTTCTCCTGTAAAAGACCAAATACTAAATATTTTGGCTTTGAGAGTCTCTTCTGACTGAACCACTCCCTGTACGGTTATAGCACAAAAACAGCCATGGACAATACATAAATGAATGGATGTGGCCATGTTCCAATAAAAGTTTATTTACAAAAACAGATGTTGTTGTTAGGTGCTGTCGAGTGAGTTCCAACTCATAGCAACCCTGTGTACAACGGAACGAAACACGGCCTGGTCCTGCACCATCCTCACAATCCTTGCTATGCTTGAGCCCATTGTTGCAGCCACTGTGTCAATCTGTCTTGTTGAGGATCTTCCTCTTTTTTGCTGGCCCTCCACTTTACCAAGCATGATGTCCTTCTCCAGGAACTGGTCCTTCCTGATAACATGTCCAAAGTATGTGAAACCAAGTCTTATCATCCTCACTTCCAGGGAGCATTCTGGCTGTACTTCTTCCAAGACAACCTTGTCCGTTCTTTTGGCCATCCATGGTATGTTCAGTATTCTTCACCAACACCACAATTCAAAGATGTCAGTTCTTCTTCAGTCTTCCCTATTCATTGTCCAGCTTCCACATGTATATGAGGCGATTGAAAACACCATGGCTTGGGTCAGGCTCATCTTAGTCCTCAAAGTGACATCTTTGCTTTTTAACACTTTAAAGAGGTCTTTTGCAGCAGATGTGCCCAATGCAACGTGTCTTTTGATTTCTTGACTGCTGCTTCCATGAGTGTTGATTGAGGATCCAAGTAAAAGTAAATCTTTGACAACTTCAGTCTTTTCTCCATTTATCATGATGTTGCTTATTGGACCAGTTGTGAAGATTTTTGTTTTCTTTATGTTGAGGTGTAATCCATACTGAAAGCTGTGGTCTTTGACCTTCATCAGTAAATGCTTCAAGTCCTCTTTGCTTTCAGCAAACAAGGTTGTGTCGTCTGCATAACACAGGTTAATGAGTCTTCCTCCAATCCTGATACTCAGTTCTTCTTCGTATAATCCAGCTTCTCAGATTATTTGCTCAGCATACAGATTGAATAGGTGTGGTGAAAGGACGTAACCCAGACACACACCTTTCCTAACTTGTTCTGTTGGAACGACTGCCTCTTGATCTATGTACAGGTTCCTCATGAACACAATTAAGTGTTCTGGAATTCCTGTCCTTTGCAGTGTTATCCATAATTTATTATGATCCACACAGTAGAATGCCTTTGCATAGTCAATAAAACACAGGTAAACAGCTTTCTGGTATTGTCTGCTTTCAGCCAGGATCTGTCTGACGTCAGCAGTGATATCCCTGGTTCCATGTCCTCTTCTGAATCCAGCTTGAATTTCTGGCAGTTCCCTGTCGATGTACTGCTGCAACCACTTTTGAACAATCTTCAGCAAAGTTTTGCTTGCATGAGATATTAATGATATTGTTTGATAATTTCCGCATTCAGTTGGATCACCTTTCTTGGGACTAGGCATAAATATCCATCTCTTCCATAGTTCCTACTGATCAATAGGAACTCTTAAACAATGGTCTGGATATTAGTCTTTTGTAGTGATAGGTGTTGCAAAGGTCTTCCCCCAGCTTGTGTTGTGTTCCTACCCTCTTCGTGTGGTGTCTTGATCAAGATAAGTTCTTTTTGTTGTTGTCGTTAGGTGCTATCAAGTCAATTCCAACTCATGACAACCCCATGTATGTAGAGTAGAACTGCTCCATAGGGTTTTCAAGGCTGGGACCTTTTGGAAGCAGATCATCAGGCACGTCTTCCGAGGAGCCCCTGCATGAGTTCAAACCACCAGCGTTTTGGCTAGTGGTGGAGCGCTTAACTGTTTGTGCCACCCAGAGGGCTATAACTCTTGAATGATCTATAAACCAACCGAAAAACCAAACCTGTTGTGGTTGAGTAGATTCCACCTCCTAGCGACCCTATAGGACAGAGTAGAATAATTAGGATAACAAAGATCTCATTCTAAGAGGTATTGAGTGTACTCATGCTAAGATCTAGAGAAAAGGGCTAATCTCTTG